CTTCATATTTTTATCTAAATTGGGAGAGGAGTAGGGTGAGATAGGTGTGGGGGGGGACCAGTGGGGGAAGGAAGTGCCTGCCCTGAGCCACTCCAAACAGACTCAGCTCAAACCCTCCTGCACCCAGATTCTAGCTGGGCCTCTGCTGGCGTTTCTCTTACCATCTCTGTAGTCTGCAGCTGTGGGAGAGGCTAAGCTCCACAGCCTCCTGCTGTGTGGTGGCCCCAGAGTGTGGCCAGTCCCAGAGAAGATCTGTGTGTGTCCCCAACCAGGCCCCTCCCTCAGCCTCTCCCAGCGTGGGCGCTTGCCCCGGGACCTGGCATTCTGCACTCCCTCTCTGATTGCAGCTGTGCCTCTGCTGATGTGAGACCTATTTCTAGAAACCTCTTCCTTCTCAGAAACCCTCAGAAATCCTCTGTCAGGGGGATTTAGCCCTGGAAACTGGTCATTCCCCTGCCGTCCTTACCCGTGGCTCCTGCTCTCCCGAGGATTTACTTCTTCTGTCCTGGAGAACCAGCAGCTGCTCCCACAGATGGAGGAATGGAGCCAGGAGGAGCTCGGGGGTTCCGAGGCTGCCAGGGACCAGGGCACAGGACTGAGGTAGGTGTGCTGGGCCCGTGGCTGAGTGTACACTGGTGCGTGTATGAGGGGTGACGGTGCTGGGCTCACTTACAGAAGGTTTCCTCCTGGCTCAAAGCGTGTTGCTCGACCCTGCAGGGGGCAGATGGGGCAGGAGGGACACAGGGCCATAGTCAGCAGCCCTCTTACAAGGAGAAGTGCCAGGGAGGGGGGCTCAGCCTGAGGAGGAGGAGCAGGAGGAGGAGCAGGAGGCTGAGATGAAGGCAGGGTGGAAAGGGAGGAACAGGAAGAAAGGAAGGGTCCTCCTCAGGAATGCTCTGAGCTTGGGTGGTGCCATAGAGCAGCCCCCAGGAGGAAGTGAACGGGTGCTGTGGGGACTTCCAGCCTCACCAAGAAGCAGGACAGGGGTCCTGATTCCCCTCATTCACTCTTCTAGCACTCCCCAGCCCTTGCACAGTTAAGATACTATGAACGGGCTGGGGATGTGGCTCAGGTGGTAGCACGCTCGCCTGGCATGCGCAGGGCGCTGGGTTCGATCCTCAGCACCACATAAAAATAAAATAAAGATGTTGTATCCACCAAAAACTAAAAAATAAATATTAAAAAACTCTCTGTCTCTTAAAAAAAAGATACTATGAATGGGGCATTAAAGGTGAATAATACTTTGCTGAAAACTGTGGTTTCACCTCCATTTAAGCTGACCTGGTTTTCACATGTGAAGCCTTCTTCTCCTCTTGACAACTGACCTGCTGGGCTCTGGAAGCTTCTCTGACAGTCTTTCTTTGAGGTGGGAATTGCTTCTAGATGCATCATAGGAAGCTTTTCAAGGATGCCCAAACCCAGAGCCCCCTTGGGGATAATTGTTGTGTCTCCTGCCTTTTGAAACTACGAGCTCTGGGCCAGCAGAACATAAGTCTTAGAGACAGGACCTCATTTTGCTAGTGGGTCACTGGGGGTGATACTGCATGGTGTCAGTCCCCACTGACTGTGACTCCCAACTTCTGGACCATAAATCCTGGTTATGGGGTACTGGTCCATGTTACTAGTTCATGTATAATCTCCATCCCTGCCACCACGGCCACTCTGAGCGTGGACCCAATGGGTGACAGCCGGTTGGCTGGGGAAAGAGGCCGACTGGTATCATCCTAACCACTGATTTTGATTTCTGAAGTCCTCCTCTGCTGGGTCAGCCTTTGTGAGAACGGACATGGGATACAAATATCTTCAGGCCTTTCCCCCATTCTAAGAGGTCTGTCGTATACTTCTCCCAGACTCCCTTGTGTCCAGTGTTATACTTCCTTCTAGGTCCCCAGCCACCCCACAAACCACTGGCCACAGCCTGTGAGTTGGTCTGTAACTGCGTGTCTGGTCATTTCTCCTTCCGACAAAATGCACAGTCAGTGCACAGCTCGGAGTTCTGGCTGTGGGGAGAATATCCCATCCTCAGGGATGTCCCAGATTGGGGCTATAGCGCTGCAGCTGTTCTGCATCTTGTGCAGAACCATCTGTAAACCAGGCCCTGGTCTTCCCCTCCCTTTCTCTGTCACCAACCGCAGGGAATTCCTTGTGAGTTCCCAGGTGCAGGCTGGGAGAGAGAAGGCTGTGTAACAGGAGCAGGGCACCTGGCGGCCTTCAGGACTTGTGCCTTTAGGACCCATTTGTGCCTTATCACACACATACCGCTTCTCTTTAATGCTGGAGGGCTGTTCTACACACTCGAGTTTTGGCTTGGTGTATGGGCGTCTTAGTCTGTTTTGTATTACTATCAGAGAATGCCTGAGACTGGGTAATTTGTAAAGAAAAGAGATTCTTTCTTTCTCTCTCCCCTGCCTTCTTTCTTTCTCTTTGTGGTGCTGGGGAATCTAACCCAGGGCCTCATGCGTGCTAGGGAAGTGCTGTACCACTGAACTACATCCCCAGTTCTGGAGATTTACTATGATTCTAGAGGCTAAGGAGTCTGAGATCAAGGCGTTCCCCAGCTGGCAAAGGTCTTTGTGCTACATCATCCCATGATGGAAGGCAGAAGAGCAAGGAGGGAGCAGGAGAGAGGACAAGAAGGGACCAAACTCATTTTTGTAATCCACTTTCATGCTAACCTGCTCTCGTGACAATGGCATTAATCTACATTATAGTCCTATCTCCTAACGCTGTTGCCTTGGCGATTAAGTTTCCAACATGTGAACTTTGGAGGGTACATTCCAGCCTTAGAATTCTGTCCCTGACCCCTAAATGCATTTCCCTTTCACATGCAAAATGCACTCATTCCATCCCCCAAACCCCCAGAATCACCCTGTTCCAGCATCAACTCAAAAGTCCCAAGTCCAGAATCTCATCTAAGTTAGATATGGGAGAGATTCGGGGCCTGATTAATCATGAGGCACATTCCCCTTGTGACATTTTTTTAAAATTTAAAGTTACTTAAATAAATAAATTGAAATTGAAATTACCGATATATATGTGTATATTTGTATATATGCATATATATATATGCCAGAGCTTCTTATTTTTTGATTAATTAATTAATTAATCGATTTTAATTTGGTATCTATGACAGCAGAATGCATTTTGATTCACTGTACACAATTGCAGCACAACTTTTCATTTCTCTGGTTGTCACCGATGTAGCGTCCCACCCTATGTGCAGTCATACATGTACCTAGGGTAATGATGTCCATCTCATTCCACCATCTTTCCTGCCCCCAAGAACTTCCTGTTCTTACCTAACCCACAGAGCAGCCCTTCCCCAACCTCTCTCCTCTCTACTTCCCAGCCTCTGAAGACCACTGTTCTGCTCTCAATCTTTGTAAGATCAGCTTTTTCATATTCCACGGATGAGGGAGACCATGCAGTACTCGTCTTTCTGTGCCCGGCTGATTTCATTTAATATCATGATCTCCAGTTCCATCCTCATTGTCACAAATGACAGGAAGTCATCCTTTTCATGGCTGAATAGATTCCGTAGTGCATGTGTGCCACATTGTCTTTATTCAGTCATTGGCTGATGGAGCCTCAGGCTGTTTCTGTTTCCTGGCTCCTGCTAACAGTGCTGCAGTAAACACAGGAGGGGGGGGGAACGCAGGTGTCTCTTTGACGTACTGATTTCATTCCTCTGATGTGTAACCAGTAGTGGGGTTTGCTGGATCATGTGGGAGTTCAACTTTCAACTTTTTGGAGAACCTCTATTCTGTTTTCCATAATGGGCATTCTAATTTGCATCCCTACCAACAGTCTGCAAAGGTTCCCTCCTTTTTTCCACTCCCTCTCTGTCTTTTTGATAATGACCATTCACTCCATCCTGGAGTGAGGTGATACCTCACTGTGGTTTTTTAAAAATATATGTATTTTTTAGTTGTAGTTGGACACAATACCTTTATTTTATTTATTTATTTTTACGTGGTGCTGAGGATGGAACCCAGGGAGGATCGAATGCATGCTAGTGCTCTACTGCTGAGCCACAATCCCAGCCCCTCACTGTGGTTTTGATTTGCATTTCTTGATGATTAGTGGTGTTAAGCATTTTTTTCATCCACCTGTTGGACAAGTCACTTTCTTATATGTTATCTCATATAAGATGATGTCTTATAAAAATATTCTTGAAAGCTTGGAATGGCTAAGTGGCTCTTGAGGTCTCAGCAGGGAGTGGCAGAGCCAAAGGTGAAGCAGCTCAGACTCTGAGCCCGTGGTCACGCCCACCACCACCCCCTGCTTCTCTGTCAGCTTCACGTGGCACAGGGTGCTCATGCTCCCATAGACGAAGACTCTGTTTCCTGGAATAGGATTTCAGAGCATCAAATATTCCCTATGTTATATTTGCTGATATATTCTAGCTTTTATTATTTTTTAATTGAATTCATATTTATAAGACAGTGATTCCTTAAACTTGGCTAATAATTATTTCTTAGCATTTGATGAATTCAGTTTTCTAGGCTCCTCCTTCCTTTGAGATTCTGATTTGGTAAGTATAGACAAATCTGTATTTTTAAAAAAATATTTAGTTTTTAGTTGTAGTTGGACATAATATCTTTATTTTATTTATCTTTATGTGGTGCTGAGGATCAAACCCAGGGCCTTGCACATGCTAGGTGAGCGCTCTACCACTGAGCCACAACCCCAGCCTGGCAAATCTGTATTTTTAAGGTCTGCATTTTTAATATCTAGTTAGGAAATTTCCTTCAACTTTGAACCTGCCTGTTTGCTGAGTTTCTAACGTATCTTGCTCCTTCTGTTCCGAATGATAAAAGCCTTGGAAGAATTAAAGGGCTCTTTAGGTTTGTTTGGGGGGTGAGAGCTCAGGAAGACTCTGGGAGCAGTCTAGCCTGAGTCTTCAGGGGCTCAGTCCTGTGGGGCAGAAGAGCATGGGCTTCCTCGCTGTCCCCTGTCCTGTGTGAGTGCAGCTCTGACACATGGCTTTGTCCCTGCAGAACCCGCGGGCACCTGGACCAGGAGAGCAGGCTGGAGCAGGGCTGTGGGATGTCCCCTCTGCGGCTCCTCCTTCTAGGGAAGCACGGTGCGGGAAAGAGTGCCACTGGGAACAGCATTCTGGGCACCACTGTGTTCAACTCCAAGTTCAGTCCTCGGCTGGTGACTCAGATGTGCCAGAGAGAGAGTGGGACCATGAGAGGGAGGGAGGTGGTGGTCATCGACACCCCTGACCTTTTCTCCTCCATGGCTTGTGCCGAAACCAAGCAACGCAGTCTGCAACAGTGCTTGGAGCTCTCTGCTCCCGGCCCCCATGTCCTGCTGCTGGTAATCCCTATCGGCCATTACACGGAGGAGGACAAGGCAACCATCCAGGGCATGCTGAGAGTGTTTGGACCTGAAGCCAGCAGGCACGTCATTATCATCTTCACTTGGAAGGATGATCTGGGGCATGACCTGCTGCAGGATTATATTGAAAACGAGTCATCTCTTAAGGCATCTTTGGCTCAGCACTTTCTGAGCCGATACTGCGCTTTCAACAACAAGGCAGGTGATGGTGAGCGGCACAGCCAGGTGTCCCAGCTCCTCTGTGAGATCCAGCGTTTGGTGGATGAGTGTAAAGGACAGTGGGTGGACTTCAAAACTGAGGGTGGCAGATTCCAGGTAAGGATTAGCCAATGGATGAGATGGGTACAAATGAATGGCATATTGCAATGTGTGATGGGACACGGCTCTTGCTTACCGAGGGATCTATACGTAATCTGGAGTGATAAGGGGAATCAGACTGAGGGCTTGGGACTTTATTAACAAGTGAAGGAGCAAATTAAGCCTTGCTCTCCTAACCCTTCATATTATTAGACACACAAATGATTTAGAATCTCTCTTTCCCTGGCTTCAGTAAAACCCCTGTCTTCTTGCCTTTTCCTCCTCTTTCCGGCTACTCCAAAGATTGCAGAGTCCTCCAGTTGCTGGCCTCTGAAAGTGGTCCTCCGGGTTTGGTTTTGGCCCTTCTTGAGTTCTTTATACTCTCTGCAGGTGATCCCAAGTCTTTATGGCTTTGAGCTCTATCTGTTGTGGACAGTTCCCACATGGAGTGACATGAGTGACTAGCCCCTGCTCTCTGTGTGCTGGCCTCACTGGCCTTCCTATTGGTCAGATCCACTCCAGAGTCTCAGATCTGCAGTTCTCTTGGCACTGGTTCTGCCCATGTGCCTCAGCTTCCCTTCACTTCCCCAGGAACTCCTCCCTGTGAGTCCCTGGTGTGAGCCCCCCACTCCTCTGTGCCTGTGGCGCCCCTCACACCACCACATCAAGGGATTCCTAGGGATGTGGTTGCAGCGGTCGCCTCCCTACAAACTCCACGAGGACCGAAAACAGCTGTTTTGTTGACCACAGTATCTCAGACTTGTCTTCTGTAAAACAGAGACAATAATGTGCATCTCAGGAACTGCTGTGAGGGTTAAATGAGATGCTTATGAGGTTAAACCTTTAAAACTCAGTAGGTGTTCATATTTGTAAACTGTTATTATCATCGTAGAAGTGTATAAGGGCCAGTAAATCATGGACATGTAAATTAAGGACTTTAGCAATCCAGAGGAAAAAAATATAAGTATAAAGATATATGTAGAAGGATAGTTATCATGGCAACTTTCAAAACAGTAAGATCAGAAATAACCTGAAACAAGTGATCAGTAAAGAGATGACTGTATCAGTTGTGTACGTCCATACCACAGAATACATTTTATTTACTAAAAAGTGTGGGTAGGTATATCCATGTTGAATTGTGCAGATGTAAAGCCTGTATTATTAGGCAGGTTGCAGAACAGAAAGCCTAGCAAGTCTCTTCCATGTTCAGGTATGCACAGATAAACACAAGGACATACATCAGCTAATAGCTGTTACTTTTCTGGTATGTTGGAGATGGACTGATTATTCATTTATATATCATGCACATTTTTCCATATTTTTTATTGGTGCATTATTGTTGTATATAATGGTAGGATTTGTTGTTACATATTTATACATGCATGCAATATATATCATGTGCTTTTGCATTGAAATGATCTTTTGCATTTAAAGAACCCTGAAGAATTTGAAATGTTTATGGAAGTGAAAGAAATCTGATCATCAGAGCTAAGTGGAGAGCACTGAGGGAGGGGGATGATGAAGGTGTCAAAGACATTGGGGAGGCCCTGGGAGAAGGCAGAGGGGAGGCTTCCTTGGCTGACCCGGGTAGTTGACAAAGGAGGTGAGAAGGAAGCATAGGAGGTTTTAAGGACATGGACTCAAGACTATACCATGGAATTTATTTTGGGAGCAAGTATAGGATTCGCCAGGCAGGAGAAGGGTACGTCCACCATGGATGGTTCCACAAGGACAAGCCAGGACCCGATTTGACAACATCCTACTCAGCAGATTTCTCTGAATTACATAATTATGTCTCCATTTCTTTTTTTTGTGAGAGGATGAGACTACGGATGTGTGTGCTATGTCATTTCCCCCTTTGTTTTCTAGGATTGTGTGAGGGAAACTACGAGTCAGGAGGAGGACAATGCATGTGGTAAGTTGATCCCTTAAGAACGTTAGGCCTCCTACCATAATACTCCATTGTGTATAGCTGCCACAATTTTTTTATCCACTCATCTATTGAAGGGCATCTAGGTTGGTTCCACAGTCTAGCTATTGTGAATTGTGCTGCTATAATCATTGATGTGGCCGTATCCGTATAGTGTGCTCTTTTAAGGTCTTCAGGGAATAGTCCAAGAAGGGCAATAGCTGGGTCAAATGGTGGATCCATTCCCAGCTTTCCCAGGAATCTCCATACTGCTTTCCAAATTGGCCTCACCATTTTGCAGTCCCACCAGCAGTGAAATGGTAGGAGACCTTCAGTGATACACAAAATTATAAGAGGTTATGAGGGGCAAGGGGGTGGGGGAAAAAAAAGGGGAGAGAATTGAACAACAGCAGAGGAGGTAGAGAGGGAAGATGGGAGGGGAGGGGAGGGGAGGGGGGATAGTAGGGGATAGGAAAGGTAGCAGAATACAACAGTCACTAATATGCCATTATGTAAAAATGTGAGTATGTAACAGAAGTGAGTCTGTAGTATGTATTTGGGGAGTTCAAAACCCAATTGAGTCGAATGTATGAAAGATGATATGTCTTGAGCTCTGTAATGTTTTGAACAATCAATAAAAAAAAAAAAGAAAAAAAATTAAAAAAAAAAAATAAAATAAAATATGGAAATACTTTTTCCAACCTAGACCATCAAAAAAAAAAAAAAAAAAAAAACGTTAGGCTTCTGTCTGTATTCTTTTAATTCCTTATGCAGCCAGAGCAAAGTGGAAGAGTGATCCGTGGGAATCAAAGCCCAAATGCACCCGAAGACCTTGCTCAGGTGGGCGCCCACACTGTCCCCAGGGAACTCCTAATCCTTGTGCGTCAGTGTAGCGCCAGGCAGCTCCTGGGCTCAGTGTGGGTGTCTCTGGCCTCCTTGATGTGCTGTGGAGCTGGGCTTGCCTCTGTGGCTTTTTTTTTCTCTTTCCACATTTTAAAAATTGGTGCACTATAGTTGTGAATAATGGTGGGATTTGTTGTTATGTATTCTCACATGCACACAATATAACAGTGCATTTTGGCTGATATCCCTCCCTAGCACTTCCCCTCCCCTCCCCACCTCCCACCTTCTGTTTCCTCCCTCTAATGATCTCCTTTTGATTATCATGAGATTCCCCCTGAATCAACACCTTTCTTTTCCTTTTTCCTCTTTAGCTTTCACATATGACAAAAAACATGGGACTCTTGACCTTCTGAGTTTGGCTTATTTCATTTAACATTATGGTCTCTAGTTCCATCTGGAGACTATGTCCAGAAAATGACGTATTTTCATTTTTTCTTTATGGCCGAATAACAATCCATTGGGTTATATATATACCATATTTTCTTTATTTATTCACTCATTAATGAATACCTAGATTAGTTCCTTAGTTTGGCTATTGTGACTTGTGCTGCTATAAACATGGATATGCATGTATCACTATAGTAAGATGACTTTTAATTCTTTTTCTTATTTTATTTTTTATTTTTTTGGTACCAGGGATTGAACTCAGGAGCACTTAACCACTGAGCCAATCCTCAGACCTAGTTTGTATTTTATTTAGAGACAGGGTCTCACTAAGTTCCTTAGTGCCTTGCTGTTGCTGAGGCTGCCTTTGACCTCATGATCCTCCTGTCTCAGCCTCCTAAGCCGCTGGGATTACTGGCATGTGCCACTGCGCCCAGCTCAAGATGGCTTTAATCCTTCAGGGTAAATACTGAGGAGTGGTATAGCCGGGTCATAAGGTGGTTCCATGCCTAATCTTTTGAGGAGTCTCCATAATATTGGTGGTTGTACTAATTTACAGTCCCACGAATAGTCTAAATGTGTTGCTTTTCCTCCGCATCCTCCCCAACTCTTATTATTGTTTGTATTCTTGGTGACTGCCATTCTGCCTGGGTGAGATGAAATCTCAATGTAGTTTTGATTACCATTCTCTAATTTCTAATGATGTCAAACATCTTTTTTTTCATATATTTGTGGACCATTTATGTTTCTTCTTTTGAGAAGTGTCTGTTTAATTCATTTGCCCAATTATTAATTGGGTTATTTGGGGTTTTGGTGTTGAGATTTTTGAGTTATGTATATATTCTAGATATTAATCCTCTAGCAGAAGAGTAGCTAACAAAGATTTTTCTCCTGTTCTATAGGTTCTTGTTCTCTTTTCACATTCTTAATTGTTTCCTTTGCTGTGCAGAAGCTTTTTGATGTTGTTGTTGTTGTTGTTGTTACATATTCACACATGCACACAATGTAACAAGAGCTACCCCATTAGCTCTTGACTAATTATTTCCTGAGCTTTAGGGTCCTGTTGAAGGAGTCCTTGTCTGTGCCTATGGGCTGGCGTGTGGACTCCTCTTGTAGCTTCTTTACTAACCTTGTCTCTTCTCCGGGTCCTGGGTTTAGCACTACCCAAGATTTGCTCATAAGGGAAAGGCAGAAATCACTCCTTGTGGACAATACCAACTTGCAGAACTCACTGGCAGAGTATGGTATCCATGTTGCGATCACCGTCAATGATACATCTTGCACACCTGCTTGAGTCACATGAGCTCCGCCTCTCTCTGTTCAGTAACTGCCATTTGTTTCATGGTGTGACATACCCATCCCTTTATTGATGCACTATTAGATTATTTCTGGGCCAGTCCTGAATACTCAGTGGTAAGTAAGATAGACAAGGTTCCTCTCCTCATGGAATGCCCCAAAGTAATACAATTATAGTTTTAATAATAATGATAATAATTGCAGCGACATTATATGCTGGGAAATAACATCATCCAATTTTCATAGCTACACACACACACGTATTATTCCTCACAGCAGCCTTGTGAAGAGGGTGTCTTGTTATTAGTGTCTCATTTTACCGATGTGAACTCAGGCCGTGGGGATTCAAAATTTTATTGATACAACTCCTGGGCAATGCCGGTGGGTAGTGGAGGAGGGAGACACGGTGTTTCAAAAAGTCATAAAGTAAAATATAAGGGAGCTAATTTGAGTGGTTTAAAGGGAGTCATTTCCAATGAGTTCTATTTGCACAGGAGCCTGAATAACTAGGAGGAGCTAGGTTAAAATGGGAGGAAGGAGATCTCACACACACCCATGGCCCGAAGGTCGTGAGGTGAGAGGACAAGTGTGAGAGAAGGGAGAGAAGCTTGGGGCCTGAGCACCGTCCCTCCTGGCCCTGAAGCCTTCTGTGGCCACTGCTGTGCTCGTTGAGATGCTGACCACTGTCCAGAGGCTGTCTCCTTGGTCCTTCCACTGCGAGGCATTCTACCCAAGTGCATTCGGAGAGCCCCAGGGTGGCGACTTGCTCGGGTGTCACTAGCATTTCAGCTGCTTTGCTTTGTGCTGTGCCCCGGGGACTCCGTGAGTGCTCTGTGTCATTGCAGCTCTTCTCCTTGCTCAGTACGTAGGTCTGATGTTGACCTTGGCTTCCAGGAGAAGTGGTGGGGGCAGAGGATGTGTGCAGAGACAGCTTTAGGGCACAGGTTGCAGGTTTTGACAGCAATTTGTTGAGGCATAATTTACACAGGTAAAATGCAGCCTTTGCCATCTCTACACACAGTGATCACCATCTACACAGATGCAGAGAGCATTTCCATTGCCTTGAATGGCCTCCCGGAGACAACCACTGCCCAGACTCTTATCAACATAGACTCATTTTGCCTGTTCCGAACTTCATAGGATGGAATTATACAGCACATAGGTCTGTGTCTGGCTTCTTTCATTTAGCATTTTTTTTTTTTGTACTGGGGATTGTACCCAGGGTTGCTTTACCACTGAGCCACATCCCCACCCCTTTTAATTTATTGTTTTGAGACAGCATCTCACTAAGTTGCTTAGGGCCTGGCTAAGTTGCTGAGACTGGCCTAGAACTTGCCATCCTCCAGCTTCAGCCTCCTGAGCAGCTGGGACTACAGGTGTGCCCCTTTGCCCTGGTTTCACTTAGCATGCTTTTGAGTTTTTTTTTTTAATTTTTTTTTTTTTTTTAGTTCTTGGCGGATACAACATCTTTGTTGGTATGTGGTGCTGAGGATCGAACCCGGGGCGCACGCATGCCAGGCGAGAGCGCTACCGCTTGAGCCACATCCCCAGTCCCTTGCTTTTGAGTTTCATCCATGTGGTACATCAGTAGTTCACTTTTTAAAAAAATTCTGAATAGTCTTTAATTTATAAATAGACCACTAAAAGGCATTTTAAAATGAGATTTTTCCTGCTCCTATCTTAGCCTATGGACCTCATGCTTCAGTACTACTTTGAAGGACCAGATCCATTGAAGGCCAAATATGGCACGTTCACTTTCCCAGTAAGTCTCAGGCCCCCTGTATGTCTCCTGGTTTAGTTGTGTCCCCTTCATGGCTTCTGCCTTCAGGGACAGCTTCTGGTGGGGATGAGAGGTCTCCTGGCCAGTGCACTCTATAGAAATGGACAGGGAGGAGCAATCATAGGCCCTGTCCTCAGCTATTGTAAACTGTAGGAAGAGACTCTGAACCTGTCCTTTTGTCCCCCAGGCTCAGGAGAGAGACAGCTGCAGGCCACAGGACCCGAGTGGGACCCAGGAATGTCAGAACTGAGGATCCTCCTGGTAGGGAAGAGAGGCGCTGGAAAAAGTGCGGCAGGAAACAGCCTTCTGGGGAAGCGGGTCTTTGAGACCCGGTTCAGGGAGCAGTCGGTGACCCAGAGCTTCAGGTCTGAGAGCAGGACGTGGGGAGAGAGGAAAGTCTGCGTCATCGATGCTCCAGACCTCTCGTCCTCAGAGGCTTCTGAATCAGAGCTTAGAAAGCACACCTTTCCAGGCCCCCACGCCTTCCTGCTGGTGACACCGGTGGGCTCCTACGACGAGAAAGATGTTAAGGTGCTGAAAGCCATCCAAAGCCATTTTGGAGAAAAATGTATCAAGTACACAATCCCTCTCCTCACCAGGAAAGAGGATTTAGATGATCAGGATCTCGATACGTTCTTAAGAAATGGAAATAAACCTGTCTATGACCTCATCCAGAACTGTGGGAACGGATACAGCGCCTTCAACTACCGGGCCACGGGGGAGGAAGAGTGGGGCCAGGTGGACGGGCTCCTGCAGAAGATCGAAAGGATGGTACAGCAGAAGAGCAGCAAGCCCTGCGTCTTCAGAGAAATAGGTAAAACTTCACGTGGGAAACCTTTTTATATGGAGTGTTTAAAAATATGTGGAGCCGAGGGGAGAGAAAGGACAGGTCGGGTCTGTGGACTTCCTCTCTTCCCTGTCTCCTGTCTTTCTCAGGTTGTTCTAAGTTGTGCCTTTCCCATTCATACTTCCTGAACTCGTCTTTCGTTCGGTCATGAGGCTTTTCCCATCTCTCCAACCTGGATGCTAAGGGTCTTGAGGGAAGGTGTGGACCTTCGGCCTCTTCTTTTCCTTGCAGTGTTCTGTTGCCCAGGGCTCTGCACTCAGTGCTGGCGATGAGATAATTTTGGATTTTTGGTTTACTCTGCTTTTCCCTTAAGCCAGATTTCTTTCTTGGTTCTTTACCCTTTTGCAGACAGGAGGCCATTTTAAAGAAAGTGTGAATAGCCAGCTGCAGTGGCACACATCTGTGATCCCAGCGGCTTGGGAGGCCGAAGCAGGAGGATCACAAGTTCAAAGCCAGCCTCAGCAACTCAGCAAGGGCCTCAGCAACTCAGCAAGACCCTGTCTCTAAAAAGGGGCTGGGGCTGGGGATGTGGCTCAGTGATAAGCACCCCTGGATTCAATTCCCAGTAACAAAAAAATTGTTCATAAAAGCAACACTAAGGACTGCAGTCAGGAGCCAAGGACTGGACAAGGACAGGGAGCCCCAAGGCCCTGCTGGACAGCCCTGTGGTGGGAGATGGGTGTTGGCAGCCCAGTCACACTGCTCCCTCCCACTGAAGAAGGGCTCCTCACTTACTCAGTGCTACACGTTCTGCTGAGCCTTCTCTCTTTTACTTATCCCATTCTCTTCTATTCAGACATCCCCACCACGAATAGCGTAAGACCCCAAAGAGTCACTGTTACTGAGCCCTTTCCTCTTTCCCACGGAGGGCCAGGTGCTGGGAGCCTCCTAAAGAAGAATAGATGTGGGAGAATCAGGAGAGGCTGTTTGGAGAAAGTCCAATTTGAACAGGTTTTGGAGAGTGGGTAGGGTTTGGACAGCAGGGTGGGAAGCTGGGAGACATCCCGGGAGCATATTAGCAACCTGAAAAACACAGGAGTAGGCTGACCTAGCGACATAAAAGAATGGTCTTGATGGCGATGGGTTCATACCACTAGACACTGGGATGGGGAGGTCGTACCAGGTCTCAGAGATGCTTGAAAGCCAGGTCCTCTGCAGGCACAGAAGCTATGTAAGCATGACTATAGTTATAGACTATGCAGGCATAACTACGAGAGTGTGACTTCCAAAAAAGCAGCTTAATATTTTCTCCTGGATGGAAGAGCATGGGATGAATTTTCCCTGATCTTTGCTATGAGATGGATGTAACTTAACAAAGAATTCACAATGGAAGAGCACTGTGAAGGGCACAGTATCAGTGCAATTGCAGAGGAAAAGCCCCTCTGCATTTTCATGTTTAAAAGAGCTCTGTGCATCTGCAAATTTACCTAGAGGGAAACCTGTTCTCCTCCGTCTCTGATGTTACACAGAATGGTATTAGTGGATATTCATGATTATAAGTATGATGTGCCTTCCTGGACTCATCAAAGACACAATGAGGTTCAACGTGGTTTCTAATGAGAAATGAATTTTAGCATGACCCAACAGAGGAACTGGTAATGCATTGATGTTATATATGATTACTTTTTCAGGAAAAGTCAATTCTGTAGAATAGTTTTTCAAATCCATCAAAAAGATTTTGCTGTGATGAGCCATATTTGGCAATGGGGGCATAATTACAATAGGAGCAGAATTCAGAGTTAAGATGTGTAGACTAGATGTAGCTGAGGGAGAGGAGATGAGGCCAGTGGCCCTCACAGGTGCCAGGGAGTCAGAGGAGGTATTGGGAGAAGGAAGCAGAGTGGATTCAGAGATGGGAACAGTACCATGTTCATGGATGGGTACTAAATGTAGACCATGGTCCAAGTCCCGCTGCTGAGTTCTCTGTCTGTGTGAATTGGGACAAGCCATTCTCATGCCTGGGGATGGACCTGCTGGGTAAGCAGGAGGCCTTCACGCTGTCTGAGCTTCCCTCTGCTTAATGGTGTAGACTGCCTTGTAAATAACTTGGAAAGGTGAATTCCATATCAGCCCATGATGGTGAATCTTTTCCAATTTCCTTTGCACAGAAACCCTGAGTATTGTCCTTGTGGGGAGGAGTGGTACTGGCAAGAGCGCGACTGGGAACACCATCTTGGGGAAACCCATCTTTTTCTCTCAGCTCCAAGCCCAGCCAGTCACCAAGGCTTGTCAGAGTGGCAGAAGAACGCTGGACTGGCAAGATATTGTGGTTGTAGACACGCCATCATTCTCCCAGATATCTGGTATTGAAAAGGATCCATCCTGGTTAAAGAAGGAGGTCGAACACTGTTGGTCCCTCTGTGAAAAAGGAACCAAGATTCTGGTCCTCGTGTTCCAGCTGGGGCGGTTCACTCAGCAGGACAAAATGGCAGCGAAGGATCTGGAGGCCATCTTTGGAAAGGATGTCATGGAATACACCATTGTGCTGTTCACCCGGAAGGAGGATCTTGGGGGCGAGGAGCTTGAAGAGTACGTCAAGAACACAGATAACAAAGACCTTAAGAATATAATTAAAAACTGTAAGGGGCGGGTTTGTGCCTTTAATAACAAAGAGACTGACGAAGCCCAAGTGGCCCAGGTGAAAACTCTTTTGGCAATGGCCAATAAGCTGAGAGAGAGCCTCAGAAGCAATGGATATCCCCAAATCGATGCCAGCCAGGAAGAGAAGAATCCCAAAAGTCGACTACGGAATATAAGAGGCATGTTTAGTACTGAAAGGCTGGGATCCCTTCAGATAGGAACCCAGTTGCTGGGTGGGTTCAGTAGGACTGGTGGATATGGGGTGGCTCAAGGGCTTTGAGGTTTGAGAGGCAAAAGCACTCCACCTTGTGATGCTGTGGCTTTGTAGGTGAATAAATCGTCAAGCTGGGGCAGGAAACACGGGATTGTAAGTGGAAAGAGGGAAGAGGTGGAGGAATCTGCAAAATCTGAACACCATCAGGCCAGTATAAAGGGTCAGAACCAGAATCACCTCACCAATGTAGGTAGGATGGAGTCAGGATGGACACTGTGACCAAGGCCCAGGCCAACATGGGGTGAATACGGAGAGTTCCACAGGAACCTGGGCTTCCAGATGTCTAGAGCAGGGCAGGGTCCATCACATCCCTGAGCAGGGCGCACTCCAGCAGGCCGCGGTGTGGCTCAGTCTGTCTGCCCGACCCACTTGCTCCCTGGCCCTGCTGTGTCCCCTGGACTGGGACTCAGGGCTAGGACTTAGGGACTTAGTTCCTTTACTCACACAGGAGCTGTTTCTTAGTGCTCTCCTCATTCTAGGTGAAAAGAGGGACACTCTCCCCTCCTTCCTGTCCTGAGGAGATGAGTCTTTGAGGTTTCAGGAGAGTCTATTCTAAACATCACAGTGAAATAGATCAGAGTAAAAATCAGAAGCATGGTAATACTGCCCAAATTAGAGAATCTTACAAAGTTCTAAAATTCTAACTTAGATTTCTTGTACAGAAAGCAATTGAAAACTCTTTGAGGCTTAGGAGATAGATTAAAACCCACAAAACCCAAATAATAATGATTTAAGCATATCAGGGGCTTCTTGTCCATATGGAGAAATCCAGGAATGAGCAGGGTGGGGCTGATGGGCACCCACTGTCCAGCTTCACTCCTTCTGTCCAGCCTCCTGGGTGTCCACACTTGCCTTTGGGTTCCATGACGGTGGTGTTGTAGCCACGGCTGAACAGGTGAGCCATGTATGAGATGAGAAATGTGGAAACTTCTCCCAGGTAGATAGGGTCAGATGTTCTCAATTAACCCCTTTATTCATTCCTCCACCCCTGGATCATGTCGCCTGCCTCCTCATGATAATATTAGATCACCTTCAAGGTTAACCTGTTTATAAGAGCATGGACTGTCACCATTAATACTGTGGATTCCACATACCTCTAAATATGATAACTTCTAGAAAATGTAAATATATTGAGCTGAACCAAATAAAAATGAATTAGATGATACTTTCAAGTTCTCCTGATTCCTGATGTTCTGATTTAGGGAACGAGCAAGCCTCTACGAACTGGCACCTGAGATAATCCCATTTACCACCATGTCTGAGCAGGTGACGCTGCGGGTGCAGGGCTAAGCGTGTGGGCATCTTCTCACAGGGAGGATCTAATCTACACTGCTGTTTTTCCTTAGGTCCCCTCCTGAGTGGGCCCACGATACCGCTGTGTCAATTGTTCTGAGAATGCAATGCTGTGCAACAGGGGAGTAAGGGCTTGCTGGGGGTAATTCCTGAGAAGGACAAAAGTGGGAAGAAGAGGAACCAGATGGTGTTGCTGATCTGATACCCACAAAGGGAGGCAGGGGAGGGGCAGGACAGCCCCAGGTCTGAGTCAGCCTGGGCTGCGCAGCTCCACAGGGAGCTCAGGGGCAAGACTTGAGTTGCCCAAGAGTTGCCCAAGCACAGTTCCACATGTATTTCTTTATGTCCCCCATCACAGCAGTCCTTCCTCCTGCTGGTCAGGGTCAGGTGAGCCCACCAAGAGGAGACTGCTCTTCCTGACCGATGGTTTCCTGGACACAAGGAATCCAAAGGGTCCAGCTGGCAGCCACAGTTTAGAGTTCCCTGGGGTCTTTACTGCAGATGGGAAATCTCCCCTGCATAGCTCAGGGACAGGAGGCAAAGTCTTTCTGTGATAATTTGGATGAAGGTAGGTGGTGAAGGCGCTCCCCCTCCCACTGTTTCGACAAGGTCGCAGTGAGGACAAGTGCTGGCAAAGCCATGAGACCCTTTTTTAGGTAATTGGGACTTTTCATTGTCATGCTCATGTTCCTGACAGGAGGCCTGAGTATGTTAAATGCTAAACTACACTAAGTTTCAGATGGCTAGAACATAACAGGCAGTTCAGGCCTTGAAGACTGTTGTACTACCCCTCAGCATATGGAGGACAAAGTAGAAGGCTGCTCCTCTATCTCAGCACATTTTTAAAAAAAATATTATTTTAGTTGCTGATGGACCCTTATTTAATTAATTTATTTATATGTGGTGCTGAGAATCAAACCCAGTGCCTCACACATATTAGGCAAGCCCTCTACCACTGAGCCGCAACTCCAGCCCCTCTATCTCAGCATATTGAGGACAAAACTGATAATGGACAACAATCATTCTCAGAAAGGTCATGAGAACTTTAAGCACCACATTGATTATATCAACTAAGAACCCAAGCCCATATTTCCGGCCTCTTAGAAAGCCTAATTATTATGCATATTGCACAAAGCCCCCTATATGTAGTTTTATTTGATTAAGGGAAAGTTATGTGATACACTTAGGAAAGTTAAGGCATATCAAGATACATTCTCCTCTTTTCTATAAATCCTCTTTTACCTCGCATATGGACTTATGATGAGCATGGTTAATATTGGTGGTAAGTGGACTGATGTTCAGAACTTGCCTTTCAGTGAGAGAGATGACAAAGATATAAGAAATAGTGTACCTTGACTAAGAGACAAAGAGACTCTTTGAGGAAGCAGCTCAACCAGTTTTATGAGAATAAATTTAGGAATTAATTAAAGTAACTTTATAAGGCATATTTTTAGAATAATGTTAGAAATATTATTTAGAGTCTTAAGTTTAGAATTCTTAAGTTTTTATCTGTATGGGTTCTTAAGATGCTTTAAGAATAGTTTATAGTCTTTAGGATATTTTAAGTATAAGATTTAAGGGGACTTCTTTTTTTTAATTTATTTTTTAGCTTTATTTTACATTTATGTGGTGCTGAGGATCAAACCCAGTGCCTTGTGCATGGTAGGCGAGCACTCTACCACTGAGCCACAACCCCAGTCCTTAAAGGGACTTCTTTAGGTGGGAATTTTAGATTAGAAATAAGGTACAGGTGTACTTTAAACTTAAAGGTTAATGTTAGGTTAGGAGACTTAAAGTCTGGTTATGTAGTTTGGCATCTGTTAATAAGAAAATAGTACATCTTGGGAAAAATAGCACATCTTGGGAAGTCTGAATAGTGCAAATTAGTGGTGCATTTTATTAATGATTTTGTACCCATAATAATTGATAAGGAAATGTCACATCCTGGAAAAATGTAAATTGATGTCACATTTTTCTATACCCCTAATGATTGTTAAGGAAATGTCACATCTTGGCAAAATTTGGAAATTGTATAATCAATGACATATTCTGAATCCATAATGATGAGAAAAATTGCAATAAAAGATGACTCAGAGGGCTGGGGTTGTGGCTCAGCGGTAGATCGCTTGCCTAGCATGTGCGGGGTCCTGGGTTCGATCCGCAGCACCACATAAGAATAAATAAAGATATTGTGCTCAACTAAAAAATAAATATCAAAAAAAAGCAAGGAAGTGTCCTCTTGTAGAGAGAATGACCATGCTGACACCTTGATTTGGAGATTCTAACCTCCTAAACCATGAGGTAATAATTTGCTGTTGTTTTAAACTACTCAGATTCAGTACTTAGTTATAGAAGTTCTAAGAAACTAATATAGATTTTGTAACTGAGAAATCAGGTGCTGATGCAAACTATATCAGAGATGTGGAAGTGGCTTTGGAGACTGGGTAATGAGTAGAGGCTGCAAGAATTTCGAGCCACTTGATAGAAAATCCTGTATTGCCTTGAAAAGACTGTTCATGGAAATGTGAATGTTACAGGTGCTTCTGCTGAGACCTCAGATGGGAATGAGGTCATGTTATTAGAATCTGGAGGAAAGGTAATTCTGGTTAAAATGTGGCAGAAGACTTGCTGAATTTTATTTTGGGTGCACAGTAGATGCACTCATATGCAAACAATGAACTCATATTTAGCTGAGGTTTCTAAACAAATAATGAAAAGTGCTGATTAGTTTCTCCTCTCTAATTATACTAAAATGTGATAGGATAGAGAAATATTGAAGATGAAATTCTGTTTCAGGACTGCAACATAGGAATTCTGACTGTTTCCAGCCCCATGTCCTGCACTGTGGATTTCAAACTCAAGACATCAACACTTACCTGAATTTCTACCTACCAATACACATAGTTACCCTGCAGGCTTACTCTGCAGTGCCCTAACATAGGTTGTTCCACTGCCTGGAAAGTTCTCTTCCATCTTTCACCCACCTGAGCCTTCCAATTGAAGCCCAGCTATCATTTCTCCAGGGAAGTCTTCTTGAACTGTCAAAGACATGATCATGCAGATTCCTTACTGAAGGATTTCATAACTCCATAATTTTTATCCAAGGAACTTGTCAAAATTAGCTATTACACATTACTAAAAGGATTTGTTTCTGTCTTTACAAGGCTGTGAGCTATGTAAGAGCATAATCTTTTCTGTTCTGAATCCCCAATCCCTATCATAGTTTCTGGCATAAAGAATGCAGTCAATATGCGTTGTTGAATGAATAAATGAATGGATGAAAAAAAATTAAAAGAAAAAGATGACCCAGAGAAAACTGCATTAGAGCTCTCTGGAGATGCTCCAATGGAACGACTCCTTGTCTCATTACTTGTGCCAATGCCACTCATCCTTCAGGACCCCCTGGACCCTGCTAGGGCAGGACCCTGGCAGGTAGGTGTGGCCTCTCCTACCTTCTGGTTTTCAAAGTATTCTTTTTACTGGGGACAGAGGACCACATAGAGTTCACTGATCCAGTATGTCTCCTGCATCCCACAAGATAGCACCCCATCCTCATTAGGGAGTCCCTCTGTGCTGGCATCCAGAATTGATCTACTTTCTCAAGCATATGTCTTAGCAATACCATTAACCTACTGACCACCTGGTGCCCACCTGCCTCTTTACTCTGATGTGGTTGGTGTAATGCAGGGGTCCTCAACTGGGAGTGATTTCGCCCTGTAGGGGACATTTGGCATTTCCTGGAATCTGTTTTGATTGTCCTAACAGGGGTAGGTGCTATTGGCACGTGGTGGGTAAATTCCAGGGATACTGGTGGGCATTACACAATGCACCAACTGCCCCTCAAGAGTGGGCTCTGACCCCAAATGTCATAGTGCTGATTCTGAGAGACCTGGAGGCAGCGGATCAGTGGGGTGTACTGCAGCATATCCAGATGATCCAGACCTCTTTGGGTCATAGGGTGGGAGAGACAAGTTCAAAGGAGGTGGCTTTTCCATTTCCACAGTGTCCCTGTTTTGTACCAAGCGTGTGCTTCTTTTGCACATTTCACCCCAAGGCTTCCCTTCCTCTTCAAAAAAAGATACAAATTGCTGGGTGTGGTGGTGCATGCCTGTAATCCCAGCAGCTTGGGAGGCTGAGGCAGGAGGATGGCGAGTTCAAAACCAGCCTCAGCAACTTAGCGAGGCACTAAGCAACTCAGTGGGACCCTGTCTCTAAATAAAATACAAAATAGGTCTGGGGATGTGGCTCAGTGGTTGAGTGCTCCTGAGTTCAATCCCCAGTACCAAAAAAAAAAAAAAAAGATACAAATTCCTATAAAAACTGGTTGAAGTCCTAAAGGGGAATAGGCTGAGTTCTGGCATGATCTGCGAGCAGCTCACTTCCTTGGAAGAACTCCAGGACCACCTGATCAGGAGCCCCTTTCCTCCTTTCCCAGTGGAACCTCTGTGTGTCAGTAGGAACTCTCACCTCCTCTCCATCGTCACACCTGCTGACCTGTGAAGCCACTGTCAGCCTCTCCCATGGGCTCACTGTCCTGCTCCACAGCCAGTAGGCCTCAGCGGCCTCAGCTGCCACTTTCCATGAAAGTTGGAGTGACGTGCACGAGAATCCTCGGCAGCGTCCCCCTTCATCTCTCTGCTCTCGCAGTTCTGAGAACAGGCGCAGGATGCACTCAACAGACCCGCGTGAAAGCCGCTGCGAACAGCCCACTCCTTTCTCCCCACAGTCCACGTTTCCTGCCGTTTCTTTTCACTTAACACCACCCTTGCCTATGTTTGTGGGTGGCCGTGTAGCAGGCCTGCTTCCTGGCCCACAGATTAAAAGTGGCCAAGTGGG